GTTTCAAAAACAGAAAAAAAAAATTTGTTTTCCCATATGCTAGCAATGAACAAGTGGAAGCAAATTAAAAACCCAATGTCATTTATGCAAGCATTCCACAAATTACTGACATATATATCCAACAGGCTATGACCTACATCTATGAGGAAAACTTCGAAACTCTGATGAAACAAATCAGAGAAACACAAAACAATCAAGTAGCCCACGTCCATGCAAAATGCTAAATTGTCCTAATTCAATCTATACAGCCAAGGCAATTCTAATTTTCCTAGTCCATAAGAATATCATAGGGTCAGGATGGGGACTGGAGAGATGGCTCAGTGGTTAGGAGCACTTGCAGCTCTTGTAAAGGACCCAGGTTCCATTCCCAGTACCAACATGGTGGCTCACAACCATCCCTAACTCCAGTTCCAGATCTGACCTCCATGGGCACTGGGCACACACATGGAATTAGGCAAAACACTCACATAAAATAATATTAATAAATCTAATAAAAAATTTAAAATAAAGTCATTAATTAAGAAGAAGGAAAAGAAGAAATAAAGACGACCATAGGGGCCTGGGGAAATGACTCAGCAGTGAAGCGCATTGGCTGTTCTGCTGGAGGACCTTGGTTCGACTTCCAGCACCCATATGGCAGCTCACAATCATCTGTAATTCTAGTCTCAGGAGATCTGACACCCTCCTCTTGCTTCCTTGGGTACTACATACATGTTGTTCACAGACATACACATAGGCAAAATACTCACACAAATAAAACAGTTGTTTTTTTGGTTTTTTTTTTTTTTTTTTTTTTTTTTTTTTGGTTTTTCAAGACAGGGTTTCCCTGTGGCTTTGGAGCCTGTCCTAGAACTAGCTCTTGTAGACCAGGCTGGTCTCGAACTCACAAAGATCCTCCTGCCTCTGCCTCCCTGAGTGCTGGGATTAAAGGCATGCGCCACTACCAGCCAGCTCAATAAAACAGTATTTATTTAAAAAAAAAAAAAAAAACAGAATCTTATTTCTCACATTCTAAAGACTAGGGAATCAAAGAACATGTCAATGACAGGTGTGGTGTCTGCGAGGGCTTCCATTCACCTCCTTTCTGGTGTAGAGATCCATTTTTTCTGTCTCTTCATATGGTCAAAACTTGAGGTTTTTGGGGTTTTGTTTGTTTGTTTGCTTGCTTGCTTTTTGGTTTTTCCAGACAGGGTTTCTCTGTGTATCTTTGGCTGTCCTGGAACTCATTCTGTAGACCAGGCTGGCTTCAAACTCACAAAGATCCACCTGCCTCTGCCTCTCCAGTGCTGGGATTAAAGGCGTGTGCCACAATATCCAGCCTTAAATCAGCTTTCTTATAGCACCCAGGACCACCAGCCCAAGGGTGGCACTGCTCACATTAATCATCAACCAAGAAAATGCCCAACAGGATTGCCCATAAGCAATCTAGGAGAGGCATTTTCTCAAGTGAGGATCTCTCTTTCATTGGGTCAAGCTGACACAGAACTAGCCAGCATGCAGTATACATCTTCTTGCAGATAACCTAAGTTCAGCTGCCAGCACCCACATTGTATGGCTCACACCCACCTCTATTCCAGCTCCAGGTGATCCAACACCCTCTTCTGGACTCCTCTAGCACTTGGACTTACAACACTTGTACATACTCAAACACACACAATACACATAATTAAAAATAAGCCTTTTAAAAGTGAGGTATCAAACCAGGAAATACAAGGAAGAAACTTACACCTCATGTCTAAGTGAAAGAAGCCAATATGAAAAGAATGCCAAACGTATGACAAAAAAGGCAGAACTATAGAGACAGTAAAAAGGATAAGCGGTGACCAGTGGCTGAGAGAGGGAGGGATGGGATGAACTGGAGCAAAGAGCCTTAGGGTATTGAAACACTCTGCTTAGCATTAAAATGAAAAATGCTATCGCTACACATTAGTCAAAATTCAAAATGCTTGACATCTGGGCTAGAGATACGGCTCACCACTTAAAAGAGTATCTGTTGCTCTTGCAAAGAAGTTCAATTTCCAGCACCCAGATGGTGGCTCACAACCATCCACAACTCCAATTCCAGAGGACCCAGCCTCCCCTTCTGTCTTCCACAGGCACCAAGCACACATGTGGTGCACATACATACATGCAGGCAAAACAGTCATAAATATAAAAATAAAATAGATAAATCTTTTTCTAAAATGAGACATCAAAAGATGCGTCCCTGAGCCAGGCGGTGATGGTGCAAACCTTTACTCCCAGGACTTGGAGGTAGAGGCAGGTGGCTCTCTGTGAGTTCAAGGCCATCCTGGTCTACAAGAGCTAGTTCCAGGACAGGCTCCAAAACTACACAGAAACCCTGTCTTGAAAAAACAAAGATGTAGCCCTGACTGTTCTGGAACTCACTCTGTAGACCAGGCTGTCCTTGAACTCACAAAAATCCACCAGCTCCTGCCTGCAGAGTACTGGAATTAAAGGCCTGTGCCACCTCCACCAGGAAATAAAGGTACTTTTTGATTCTAGTCATTCTCTTTATATAGCCCAGGCTAGACTCAACCTTTCAAGTATTAGATTATAGGCAGACACAACCACACCTACTTTTTCAAGCACACAGAATCCATTCTTGGGTAATGTCACCTTTGAAATCCAATAAAAGAACCATAAATTTAAAAAAGGAAATCATCAGAAATGATCACTACTGGTGAGTCCAGGCTGGAGAACACTACATGGAAGAAGACAGTACCTGAGCTCTTCCTCGCAGACAAAAGGCATCAGGTGAGCTCTGATCAGCTGGGTGGAACGTGCAGATTGAGACTGACAGCCTACTCACTAGCTCAACCCCAACCCTTAACAATAAGAATGAATTACTCAGCCCACCACCCAGGCAGATGGCCTTTAACTCTAGTACTCGCCTTTAAACCCAGCACTCAGGAGGCAGAGGCAGGCAGATCTCTGAGTTTAAGGCCAGCCTGGTCTACAGAGTGAGTTCCAGGACAGCCAGGGACACAAAGAAACACTGTCTTGGGGTAGGGGAGGGATTAACTACCCATTAGCAAGGCCTCAAGGAGTTAAAGTACCTGGAACTCTACTATATAAGTTAATCTTCCTTTGAGAAATGTCATTGTAGACTATATAGTTTATATAATTTCTTTCATTATTGCTAATTTTAAGCTCACACTGAGCTTCGTTATTGTTAATTTTTCAAGTAAGCATACAAAATAAAGGTGTTCATTATGTCATGAAAATGTTTTTGAGCTAAATATACTGATACATGCCTGTAATTCCAGCACACAGAAGATGGAGGCTGGAGGATCACAAGCTGGCCGCTAGCCTGAGTCACACAGTGAGAGCTTGTCTCAAAAGCTAAAATAAAGTTTTTCTTAAATAAAAGAAAAATTTCCCCACTGTTTCCAAAGAACCAAGGTAAAATACCTAAGGATTTCTTGAGTCTTGTCTCTACCAGTAACATCATGTTCTTTCTCTCAGACTGGAGCTCCTTGATATTCCTGGTCCCTGAGTGCACGTGTGTATTCACAGAATCTCTGTACCTAGAAGTGCGCCTACTTAAAAAAGTCGGGCAGCGCAGGCCTTTAATCCCAGCACTCAGGAGAAGGCAGAGGCAGGACAGCACAGCCTGGGCTACACAGAGGAACCCTGTCAGGGGGGCAGGGGATTGTTTGGGCTGGAGGGACAATAATAACTGAGTGGTTAAGAGCACTGGCTGCTCTTGCAGAGGACCTGTGTTAGATCCCTAACAACGACACAGTGTCCCCACAACCACCAGGAACTCCGGTTTCTTAGGACCAACACCCTCTTCTCACCTCCAAGGGCACCGAGGATGCATGTGATTCAGACACACAATCAGGCAAAATGCTCACCTATACAAATGAAATCGATGTGTTTTGTTTTGTTTTTTTCTTTTTCGAGACAGGGTTTCTCTGTGGTTTTGGAGCCTGTCCTGGAACTAGCTCTTGTAGACCAGGCTGGTCTCGAACTCACAGAGATCCGCCTGCCTCTGCCTCCCAAGTGCTGGGATCAAAGGCATGCGCCACCACCGCCCGGCTGAAATCAATGTTTTAATTTTAAAAAAAAAAATTGTTTGGCATTTTCTCTGTTTCAGAGTAGCAACTAAAACTGTCTCTACAATGACTGTCAAATTCAACCTCAGTGAAGAAAAACTAAAAGGCCATGTAAATTAGTATGGCTTCAGTTCAAGCCACAAGCTCCTATACTAGAAGGATCTAAGTTCCAGGGACAGTTAGCAGAATCATTAATCAAGCCATGGGAAGGGACCAGGCTTGCTATGTCCAATAGTCACAGAGGAGTTAAGGAGTGAACTAGGTGCCAGACCCAGGAAAGAGTCTGAAAGGACTTCCACATACAGGTCTCTGCTAACCAAATCCATGGAAAGAAAATCCAATTTCTAGACAATTTCAATTTCCACTATTGAGTAATATTCAGGCTTTCAAAAGAAAACCATCCTCACTCCTAGCTTCTGAATGAGATACTGAACCTCTCTTTAAAGACCCACTTCCATCAGAAACACAAGGTTACCAAAATGTATTTGAAGAAGGACCAGTCACATTTCTTAATGCAAAAACTAAGCTGGCGCATGCACTCAGGAGGCAGAGGCAGGCGGATCTCTGTGTTCGAGGCCAGCCTGGTCTACAGAGTGAGATCCAGGACAGTCAGAGATACAGGGAAACACTGTCTCGGGGGAAAAAACAAAAACAAAACAAAAAACCTCTAAAGTCAAACTAATCCAGCTTTAAAATTCTCAGAGTCGAGACATTATTATACACTAAGTAATGGGCTGGAGGCATAGGTTTGCCAGGCCCAGGGATAGAAGTCTCAACGCCAAAAAGAAAAAAAAATTATGGAAGTTTAAATTCATACTTAAAAGATATATCCAATAATGAAATATTCTTAAGTGCAAAAAAATTCAACCGTGAATTTAAGTTGAAGTGATGTATTTCAGATCCCTACTTAAAACTAAGGAAAAATAAAACCCAACCTACAAAGTTAGTAGCCAATAAGGAGCGGCAACATGCACTGTCTACACCTCACATTCCATCCTCCACTCACAGGAAGTCTTCAAGGGGCTTACATTCCCTTCGGAATACACTTCCAAGTCACCTTCCACGGGTCCTTGAGAAGTATCTGCTCTTAGGATTGATTCCCTTAAGGGACCATCCTATCTCGTCAAACTTCCTGCTTCCTGAGTACAGAATAACAATCATTGAGTCCCAGAAACAGTGGGCTCAAGGGCCCACAGGCTCAGCATGGCGACAACAGGTCTCAATATCGACACGAGAAGTGATTCAACAAGTGGCAGCGCGCCCCAGGCGCAGCGGGCAGGCCTTACCGCCCGGCGTGCAGGAGCGCGCACAACAGGAGTGCTTGGGGCCTGGCCTGCTCGGAGGGGTCCCGAGACGCGCGACGACTTTGGAGAGCTGGGTCCCCGGGGACCTTGGGGTGTCCCGGCCGCGGGACACGAGGACCGCGCTGGGCCCGGGGCGCGCGGGGACCTTAAGGCGCTGAGCCGCCTGCCGGCCCGAGGGGGTGGTGTTCCGCGCGCTGCGGCGATGCACCGGGCTCTCGACGTGCGGCTGCGCAGAGCCGGCCGACGTGCGGGGACTCCGGACTGATAGACAGCACAAGGACACGGCGTCCCCGCGGCCGGACTTTGTAGTGGTGCGCAGGACGACGATGGCCGGGAGCACTCTCCGCGAGGCCGGCGAGCGCCCGGCTCCCTGAGTGAGGCGGGGCGCCAGCCGCGCAGGCTGCGCTCCGCGCATGAGGACGACGCGCCTCAGCCACCTCGGAACAAAAACCGCAGCCGACGCCCCGCCCCCTCCGGCCGTCCTCATTGGCCGCCGCGCCGCTACCGCCGCCGCGAGCCCTCGGCCGCCCGTTCGCGCACTAGCGCAAGGAAGCCGCTGCCGCAAGCAGCAGATTCTCAGCCGCGCCGCGGGGCGGAGCGACGACGACGCCCGGCTGGTTGTGGGCGTGGCCTCTTGACTTCCCGCCCCCCCCCCATGTCTCTCACTTCCCTCCCGCGAGCAATATGCGCCGCCGCTGATCCCGCCCCCGGCACGAGCACCGCCCCCTTGCGTGCGCCGGCGCGCACAGGGTATGACATTGACCTCCGGGTCTTGGCGGGGTGGCAAAGGCTGGCAGCAGGACCTGAGGCTGCGAGTAGTCCCTCAGTAACTCCAAGGCTCGCTATGGCCGCCTTCCTTCCTTTCCCTACCTTTCTTTGCTTTTTTTGAAACAAGGTCTCACGATGTAGCTCGGACTGTTCTGGAACTCAGTAGGTACACCAGGCTGGCCTCGAACTCAACAGAGTGCGTCACCACGCCCAGCTCTTTCTTCTTTTTCGGGTTACTAATGTGTCCTTGGGCAAGTCCACGCCCTCAGGGGTCTCAGTTCTGGACCTGTAGTGTGACTGGGAGGCAGGCACACATTGGCGCTACATCCATATTGGTGCAAGGCTGTTCTACAGGGGGGTGTGACTCTGGGGAGCACTTCCCAACGTGCTGGAGGCCAGGCCCAGCAAAGAGAAAATACATGTTTACTTGTCTAGGACTTGACGGGATGACTCCCATCTGCAATGGCAGATGCCTGTAATCCATAGACAACCTGGTCCAGAAACAACAAAAAGTCAAAAAGGTTGCTGCTTGAGGTGGAAAAGGCGTAGTTCTGAAAGCTTTGGAATAAGACCTAAAAGAGAGACACTGGATATTCCTGGGGCTGGATGCTGGGGACACCAGGTGTCAGGCCAGGCCTCCACAGGCTGTGACCCAGTAAGTCCAGTCAGGATCAACTCGAAAGAATGTCCTTACCTGCCACATAACCAGCTACAGGCCTTTAATTCCCTCCTCCAAGTTTCTTGAGAACAGGGGGCTTGTGACCTGAATCACAGCAGGCAGGCATCTGGCACCCCCACCCCTACACACACACACACAGAGAGAGAGAGAGAGAGAGAGAGAGAGAGAGAGAGAGAGATCTGGCAGGCACCTGTGCCTAAGAGGAACTCTGCCCAGAACAGTCCTCATCCCCACTCTGGACCCAGGGTGGCCTTCTCAAATCACCACGGTCACCTTGTGTTTCCCAAGCCCTGCGGCAGATTAAATTACATATGCCGTGCCACACAGCTCAGCATGATTAATTACTCATGGCCTTCAGGGATTGAAAGTCTGTGCCCTTTCAGAGTAATGTTCATGGAGTTGATGAATTCACATAAAACCAGAAAGTACTTCAAACCCTCCTACAGGTCAGATTGCAGGGGATGGCTTGCAGGCCTGCACAAGGGGCCACATTAGTGATGCTGAGGACAGATGCCAGCATCGTGGTGTTTATCCAGTCCCAAAGGTGACCAGCCAAGGGACGGCACTAAAATTATCCTTGGTTTATAGATAAGGGAGCTGCTGCTCTAACAAGGGATTGTGTCCCCTCCCGGGACACCAAGTAGCAATGTCGTCAGCCTGTTTTCCTCAGTGCCTAACTTCAGTTCCCTTTGAGAATATTGCATGCAGCAATCTGGAAGAAGCCAGGACCACTTGGTCATACTACCTAGGTTGAAGCTCTGCTGAGGTGAAAGACAGTTCTGGCCTAACCTCACACTCCCCACTCTCAGGGAAACTTCTAGAACATTGGAAGAGCCCAGGCCATTTCAGTACATAGGTTTACTGACACAGCTTCAAGGCAGGATGGGTGCCAGAAGAACACACCTGGACCATCACAGCCCACCTTAGCTCACCCCAGGACACCTCAGCATCCCTAACACATTAGACACCTTAACATGCACATCAAACACATCCTGACATCTCAAATCCAGGACGTCTCAAATCACCCCATCAGACTCTAGCACGCCCCAGCATAATTAAGCACACCACGGGGTCTAGATGCCACAGCACTTGGGATAAGGAGGGCAGTCTGAAGAAAGGTCTCAGGCTGCTGGAGATTGCCCTTACTGTCTCCTATGCTATGCAAAGCTAGTCAGACCAGAGAGAGCGTTAGTGAGCTGACAGGTACCCAAAATGCATGACATCTCTGAGCCCAGCTGGCCAATAGCCACTCTACATAACGGCTGTCACCTGCTCCATCACAGACATGTCTGGGCTAATATACAGAGACCCATGCAGATTCCTGTCCAAAGATGCTAAATATTCTACATGATAATAACTTTATTGATGTGGGATTCCCCTCTGTATGCTGTGACTACCATTAATGATTAAAGAAAGCTGGCTTGAGCCTATAGAAAGGCAGAATTTAGCTAGGCGGGGAAAACTAAACTAAATACTGGAAGAAAGGAGGCAGAACTTACTTCTTTGGAATTCTAGTGTATACTGAAGACCAGCTGAAACATCCAGCCTTGTAGGCTCAACTATTACTGGACTATTATTACTGGACTCTTGGACCTTTCATTGATAAACAGCCATTTTGAGTCTAGCTAGACCACAGCCTGTAAGCCATTCTAATAAACCCCAGATAGATGACAGGTAGATACATTTATTCATTCATTCGTTCGTTCATTCTATCAGTTCTATTCCACCAGAGGACCCTGACTAATACAACAGTTATAAACAGTTATGAACCGCCATGGAAGTGCTGGGAACTGAACTCCAGTCCTCTGGCTGAGCAGTCAGTGCTCTTACCCGTTGAGCCATCTCTTCTCTTTTAAATAGTTTCTGTCTGATATTTTGTCACAGTAACCAGAGAAGTAACACACCAAATAAGGCCTCAGTTACAAGATCAAAAGACTTTTGAATATCTTTTTTTAAAATTTAGGTTGGGAGCTTTTTTATTTTTTATTTACTTTTTAAATATTTATTACGTATACAATATTCTGTCTGTGTGTATATCTGCAGGCCAGAAAGGGGCACCAGACCCCATTACAGATGGTTGTGAGCCACCATGTGGTTGCCGGGAATTGAACTCAGGACCTTTGGAAGAGCAGGCAATGCTCTTAACCACTGAGCCATCTCTCCAGCCCCTTTTGAATATCTTTTAGCATTTAACTAAAATTCTGGATATCCAAGAAAACCCAGGAAAGATAGGTCAGGCGGGGGTTATAAAGGTAGGTTCAGGGGATACATAGAGCCTTCAAGTCAGGGCAGTCACACAGCATTCTCAACTGCAGAACCACAGGAGAGGCCCTGCCTCAGCTCCAAAGGGAGGCTACCAGGCCCTGGTGAGAGACACCACCTCCACAGGAGGGCTTCCTCTCCTCCCTCCTTTAATATTCATTCCAGGTGTCTGCCAGACCACTCAGGGACCAGAGACCCCTGATGTCGTCCCCGGGTTCAATAGAGGATGGACAGGGTGTAGCACAGACTCAGAGTAGTACATGAGGGACTACCACCTAGTATGGATATGTTACAGATATGTCTGCTTCTTAACATGAATAAAGAAAAGAAGCTGAAATACAATCACTGAAATGTTTTAAGACAGGGTCTCACAGTGTAGTCCTGGCTGGCCTGGAACTTTCTATGTAGACCAAGCTGGCTTCAGACTCAAGAGGTCCTTCTGCCTTTGTTTCCCAGTTTCACTCAGTTATTTCTCTCGCTCTCTTCCTCCCTCCCTCCCTTTCTCCCTCCCTCCCTCCCTTCCTCCCTCCCTCCCTTTTTTATTTTATCTGTGAATTTTTGTGTGCACGTGTGCGTGTGCACTCCATGCATGCCTGGTGCTCAGGGTGGTTAGTAGAGAGGGCAATAGATTCCCTGGAACTAGAGTTAACATGGTTGTGAGCCCTTATGTAGATGCTGGTTTTCTTAAAGAACCTGGAGGCTGAAGAGATGGCTCAGCAGTTAAGAGCAGGGCTGCTCTTCCAGAGGACCAGGGTTCAATTCCCATGGCCATGGCAGCACAAGACTGTAACTCCAATTCCAGGGCTTGTGATACCCTCACAGACATACATGCAGGCAAAACACCAATGTACAGAAAATAATAAAATAAACTACCTGGAGATTGAGAAATGACCACGTGGTCCTGATCCCTGGTTTGGATGAGAACGGATGGTAGGGGGCAGTGCAAGGTCTGTTTACCCTAACACCTAAGGTCCTGTCTGCTGGCAACAGACCCAGGAAAAGCTTGCATAGTGTTTATGTGGAATTCTTGTCTCCAGACTGGTGAGAAGTCAAACTGTTCCAGGGAGTACTAGAGACGCTCGTCCTCTCTCTAGGATGTCTTCAGTGGCAGGAAAGCCAGCTGCCCTCTAGATGTGATGGGAGATTTCCAGAAAGCTAAGGAACCTGCCAACCAGCCCGAGGGGATCTGGTGCAGGCTGACATCTAAAGCACCTAACACCCTACCTCCTAGGACTCACATCCCTTGGA